GCAGCTATCAAGCTTCCAGGACAACAATCAAAATTGTCAGGCATCACTGTTATGTTGACAGATGGTTAGCAGCATGGTCACCCTGCTTTGTGCAAAGTCCTGACCCAAGTTGGAGTTGGGCTCCTCGACACTCTGTGACATTGTGTATAAGCCTGCTGACAGGCTGTCCAATCCACCAATACAATCCATCCACTATCTCATTCTTTGGCAAGCTAGAATCTGCAGTATCCTTTTCCCCCATCTTCACTACTACCCACTTGCATCTAGTGTTTTTTCACTTGGACACCTTCTTTTAGCTGAAGGTCTATACGACCGATGGTTGTAGTATCTAAACTGCTGCTTGCTGCACTGATATCGCATGACATTATATCTTCAGAGTAACTGGCTCCATTTCTAAACTAGTAATTCTGTAATTCAGAAAAGCGTAGGGAGCCTACAGTTTCACACTGCTTTCTCCAAATCAATGCCCTGGATAATAAGAGTTAACTTGTCAACCAATCAACATCATGTTTCTCTTGTAGCAAAGGTTGTTGTGACCAATTAAAATTGTGTTTCTCCTGATGAGTGCAATTAGATGAAAAGCTTCAGTAGCTTGTATTTCTTTACACCAATCTGGTTCTCTAATACCAAGTGACAGTCTGACATTTCTCTTGCCAAGTGCCTTGGAACATTTTAAAATGCTGAAGGCATGAGCTGAACACAAGTTACTGGGGGAAGAAACGCGACCAACAGCTGCTGGCTGTCAGTGCTCTGTGCCAGTGCCCTAGTTCCATTTTCTGTGGGATTCCAGTGAAGGTAACATGACTCGAGATTAAATAATTGCCTTTGGTGGTATAGTTACTGACTTTACAGAATCCAGCGGGTGCGGTGGGAGGGGTGTGTGGCATGGCTACTGGGATGTGGCCTTATTTTGAGAAATGTCTGTAGTTAGTACCTGCCAATCTTGCTGTTGCTGGGCACCACCTCGACATGGAAACAGATCTTTGTGGAGGGAGATGGTTTCTTGGCAGTAATTAAGGAAAACATGCATCATAACTGCCACTTGGTGAGTCATTCACAGGGAGGACGTACAAAGGTACAGAGTGTTGCAGATTGTGACTGACAGTCCACAAATCACAAGCCAAAGTATTCCTGAAAGAATCTAAACCTAGGACAAACATGGCAATGGACATTGAAGGTGCTGCTTTATGAAATTAATGATTCTTTCCCCCATCTGGAAAGTGGGCACACTAATTGCTTATATGTTTATCTTTATATATAATTATGTTCACTCGTATGAATGTACTGAGTATATCTTTATTTTAATCTATATTTTGTTCAATAATATTATTTTAAGTAAAGGATTTTTTGAAAATGATGTTTTATCTAAGAAATGAAGAAACACTTCAGGGAATATAAACATAGATTTTGTTGTTAATCCACTGACAAGTCAACACCATTTTGCCAAAATACACATTTTGTCACATTCACAGGCAGAATGCCCAAATTCATCTTCAATACAGTTTTGCTATTCCAACAAACATTTCACTCCTGGCTGTAAACTAAACTATGTGGACTTAAAATTCAATGGATATTTATCTTTTGGTCTACGTTTCTGCCAGCTAAACATGCCAGAGATATTCAGCAGGAGGTACACAGGCTGCTTTTCTGTTCATTCCCTATTTTTGGAAGGTGTTTCCTCTTTCCTGTTTTACCCTATTTTCTGTCCACTGCAGATGACTCCTACCATGAAACCTCCTGGAACCAAGAGACCAGGCAAAGCTGAGAAATCTCTGCTTCTGTGGTTAGCAGAAAACAGACATGATTTGAGAGGGTGACTGAAGTGACGTAATCTTTTCCTTCCCATTCACCTCTTCACACCCAAGTACCAATGAGTCACTTCTATGTGATGTTATAATCTAGTGGTTTCTCAAAAACTTAATAAATGCAGACAACTGATAGGCAAATTCATTCCACTGATATCTATTGACTTTCTTGCCAAGAGGGAAGTACTCTCTCATACTTGAGCTTGTGTCACTGTCATTTTAGTGCAAACTGCTAAAATTTAAATTTTGTAATTTTTACCATTTTTATTTGGCAGAAAACTGAGCTTCATTATTCATTGCTTTAAAAACCAGAGATACAAAACCGATGAGTTTTATTAGTGCACACTGCCATAGGTGTTGGTTATTAGTGCAGCAGAAATACAACATAATGGCTTGGGGTTTATGGCCAGCAGTGAAGGAAGTGCCGTCACCATTTATCAAAAGAACTGCAGATGCTGCAAATTTTTTTTATTCATTCATGGGATGAGGGTGTTGCTGGCTAGGCAGCATTTATTCCCCGTCCCTAATTGCCCAGAGGGCAGTTAAGAGTCAATCACATTGCTGTGGGTCTAGAGTCACATGTAGGCCAGACCAGGTAAGGATTGCAGTTTCCTTCCCTAAAGGACATTAGTGAACCAGCTGGGCTTTTCTGACAATCAACAAAAGATTTATGGTTATGTTAATTCCAGATATTTATTGAATTCAAATTCTACCATCTGCCATGGTGGGATTTGAACCCAGGTTCCCCAGAATATTATCTAGGTCTCTGGATTAACAGTCCAGTGATAATACTACTAGGCCATTGCCTCCCTTCAGAAACAAAACATCTGTGGATGCTGCCAGACCTGCTGAGCTTTTCCAGCAATCTCTAGTTTTGTTTCTCACCCTTTATCAGCTTATAGGTGCTCACAATTACTACCCTTTCTACTTTCTGCCCTTAACAAAGTGATGAACATTGATAGTGCTCTCGAGCTGAGGAATAGTCTAGTTTCTGATGAGTAGTTTGGATCCACTTTTGTGGGCTTTTGAGTGGCAGTGTAAGATTATTACAAAGTCATGTCAGCATGGCTTTCTCTACAGGGGCTCTAGAACCTCTGTGACAGCTTATGCCGTTGATGAAGAATCGTCATTGAGACACACAGGTCGAGAAGTTGATCCACTATTTTTTGGCATGCTGGCTGCAATTCACAATCCGCTCATGCTCATTGTGTGGATGTAGACTGTTCACAGTTTGGCAGTTCCTTCTCATTGACTTGATTGTAACTTTAGTCCGAGCAGGATCAATGCTGCTGGCTGATGAGTATCTAGGTGTTCAAAAAGCATGTGGCAATGCCAGCATGCTCCTCTTAAAGGCAGTCAGTCCCACTGACAGGTACTAAGTAACAGGATTGCTGCTGAATGTCACTGCTGCATATTTGAAGAAGAAAATGATGTATCGGGGAATGGAGAGGCCCCCACTTGGTTCACATATGTGCCTCTGAAGGCATCAGTCATGGAGGTGAACAGGACACCATGGTTTCCTGGGAGAACAGGAGGGTCACAAAGACATCAGTCAGAAGGAAATGGGAGTAAGTGGCTCAAGGTCACTGCAAGAGCTTGGTCCAGAGAAGATGCATTACAAGAAGTCTGAAGGCTGCACGAGGGTCACATTTATTGAATGTAACTTAGTATGACATCTCCAGCCACCAGTGTCGCCCAACAAGCCCTTCTATAGACCCTGTCTGCTTGGTGCCATATAAAAATTTGTATAATACTTACCCTTTCAAGGGCACCTCCAAATGGATTGGCCCGCTCACTGTCCTTAAGCTTGGCCTACCTGTTGGCTCTTTAATTGCCTCCTCCTGGAAACGTTAAGGTTGGTGAGCAAGTACAATTTCCCAGCCAAATGGTTGGCAACCCGGGATATAACGTGACAACGCAACCTCCACTGTTCCATCAAAATCTCACCTGTAAATTCTATATCTTTCTCCACACATACTGTCGGACCTGCCAAGTGATTCCAACAATTTCTCTTTTAATTCCCAAAATGTAAACCTTGGTATGCCTTCGGACTTCAGTAAAAAAAAACCTATTGCATCACCCTATCATGAGGAAAATTTAATTTATATTTCTTCCAGGTGAGTAAGTCATTGTAAGGGAGAGATGAGATGTCAGAATTTCAGAACGATTTGAACTATCTAAGAAATTAGTTTACTGCTTAACTGAGAGTAACTAATGAAGGAAATCAATTACTTACTTACTTACAAAATACTCTTCCTGGGAAATTTTATAATTTGAAATAAAATTTCTTCAGGCTGATATGATTATGCCCAGGAGTCCCACTTTAGAAACCTTTGAATAATCTTCCTGCTATTTGCAATAAAGAGTGTTTGTGAGAAGCACAGCTCTAATAGGCATAGTTCCAACTTGTTACAGTCCATGGTTTAGAACAGAGATGATGAACTTTTCACATGAAGAGTGCTATTTCCTAATTCACAATTCCAAATAACTGGAATACTTTTGTTATTGTGTAACATGTTATTGTAGTTTGAAACCTTATTTGTAACTCTTAACTAGATATTTTAATGCTATGAAACCACCGTAACTGCATTTGTCATATTACAGATCAATCTGACTGAAAGCTGGTGATCTCTTCATTTACACTTGAAAATATGTCATTTTTTTGCTTGTGATTTTGTGCTATCTCTGGCTGGTGTGAGATTCCATAGATCTCTGATTCAGGATGAATGAATTTGTATCTGTGTAATGCATCAATACATGTGAGATGAAGAGGTAAATATCGTTGTGCTCTTTGTAGCTCATTGCAAATCTGATGTGAGAATGTATACTGGCGTGCCACTCATTGCAAATCTGATGTGAGAATGTATACTGGCGTGCCAATGTCTTTTCGCCTTTCACCATTAACCATGTAGGCCCTCTGTGCTGCATATGCACTTGCTCGGGACCTTTCCCCACCTTTCACCAAAAGTAACAGATGTGCCACTCACTTTTTTTGTCCCTTAATACCTGCCTCTGTCTCATTTCAGGATGAAAACAGCAACAATCAAACAGAAAGAGTTAAGACGGCTAGTGATCTGCCTGACATTCGGCTCCTCACCGCCTATTTGGAGAGGATCCAGACTTTGAATGCCTGAGCGGCTGACTGACCTCGTCCAAGCCCCTGGACTGGTATCGGAGGCTGCCCTTGACCAGGACAGGTACCTGGACCCGTGATCGAAAGCTATCTTTCTTAACTTGACTAAGGAATGCTGAAAACCAGAGCAATCCTGGCTTTGTGTCTGCTAGATGTCACGGCATTACAGCAGTACTGTTAACCTGATATCTCTGGCTTGAGGGGCAAAGCACACAAGGCAAGGCAAGGCAAGGATGCTATGAGCATTCAGGTAGGGTGAGAGTGAGTGTGTGCTTTGAATGCAAACAAAGAGCCCAGAAATGCAGCCTGGTCCAGTCAATAAGCTAGGTACTTTTCCCTGAATACAAAGTGTCCTTGCTTCAGCATTTTAATGATAGTTGCTGCTTCACCAGGAGGTACAGCATTGAAGTGCAGAAGCATTCTGCAAGTGGATTGGAGATGTGCCATGAGGGACATCGGAAGTAGGCACATGCTGGATGCCAATGTCTGTGGATATGGGGCATGTGTGGCCAGTGTCTATGGACCATGTCCTGAGATGTTGGTGCCCAGTTTCCAATATGGAGGCTCTTTCGCAGCAAGTCACCAGATACTTGCTCTGACTTCCAGGTCAAGTATTCTGAGCATCTGGTTTGCTCCCAGCAGGTGGTAACATGGGGAATTGCCTATCAATGAGGTGAGATGAGCTATAAATAAGATTTTTAACAGTCAATAATCCCCCTTATATACAACTTGAGCTCCCTAGCGAGAATCTCACCTCAATGCCTAGAACTTAGTTAAAAGACACAGCAAATTGCTTTTGACATCAAGGTAGGCCTCGGCAGACTTCCTGCATTTCTCTGTCACCAGGGGTCTGTTAAGGTAGGTTACAACCTAGTTAGTACATAAAGTTTAGTGCTTACTAATAAATATACATAAGATTCCATATTTTTAAAGAAACAAATCAAAGTTAACAAGAGAAGGTTAGAAAAGTTAAAATTGACAATAGATGGGTAATGTATACTCTAAAATCCAGAATTAACAGCAGGTAAATGCGAGTTATTAGACAAAATGTGGACAAATACCTCACAGAGCACATCAGATAGCACATGTGGTCACAACAAATCTCACAGATTTGTCAGCAATCACCCTCACTGTCTCAGATTGTGGCCTTCCCTCAGAAATCAACCTGCTCGTTCCTTTACTTCAGCACTTACTCAGGTCAAAACTGTAATTAGCTTCTCCCAGCAAATGCACATGATGTGTTTGTGGTTTTCCCTATGTTGGCTTAAGTAATATATATCATAAAGGTTTGGGATCTTTGTGAGTTAAATATCTGGAAGTTTATTACAACTAACTATATACACTACAATGGTCTCACAGATTTGCACACATAATCTGGGTTACAGAATCATTGAAAATACAGTACAAAGGAGGCCATTCTACCTATTGTGTCTATACCATCTCCCGAAAGAGCTACCCAGCTAGTCCTGCTCTCCTCTATAGCTATGCCCTATCTCTATAGCTCTCTAGCCTCATCACTTTTAAATATATATCCAACTCTCTTTTGAAACCTCCTGTGGAACTGCCTCCACCACACTCCCAGGCAGTGCATTTCAAATCCTAACAACTCGCCAAGTAAAAACATTTCTCCTCCTTCCATTCCTAGCTGTCTTGCTGACAATCTTGAAATTGTGACCCCTAGTTACTGACATACCAATTAGTAGGAATAGAATATCCAGTCAAAGTTGTTCATAATTTTGAACACCTCAATAAGGTTATCTCTTAATCTTCTCCAGCTGAAAGAGAATAGACCCAATCTCTCTAATCTTCATCTAAAATCCGTCATTCCTGGGACCATTCTGGTAAATCTCCTTTGAACTCTCTCCAGACTTTAACATGCTTCTTTTAAATAAGGTGCCCAGAACCAAACACAATACTTCAAGTAAAAATCGTAAAACTGCAGATGCTGCAAATCAGGAACAAAAACAAAGTGCTGGAAAAGCTCAGCAGGCCTGGCAGCATCTGTGAAGAAAAAACAGAGTTAACTTTTCAGGTCTGGTGACCCTTCCTCAATTACTGGATCTGAAACGCTAACTCTGACTTTTCCTTCACAGATGTGCCAGACCTGCTGAGCTTTTCCAGCAATTTCAGTGTTTGTGTCATGATGATGAAGCTTGCTCTGTGCTGTCCTTAACCTGGCCTTTAGGAGTTACTGGACATCTTTAAATTATCACTATTCCAAGCTTTAAAAAAAAACACAGCTTTGGCCAAGAAAGCTCATCTTTTGTTTCAATAGTTGCATCTCTTCAACGTTGATCCAATAAACAAATGTGGATAACCTTCTGAACTGCCATTTATTTTAGGTATTCTGAAAATCACTTCCTAGCTATTAACCTCTAAAAACAATATGACCCAAACTATTTAAGTGCATTAGACTTCTATGTGGTTTAATACCAGTTATCGAATTTTCATTTGTTAAAGCTTAATTTCTAAAATTAAAAATTACATTCTAAAACACTTTGGCAAATATGGTTGAGGAGAATCCAAATGGATTCTGCAAATACATTAAGGACAAAAGGGAAAGAATAGGGCCACTTAAAGATCAGCAAGGCTGCCTATGTGTGGAACTGCAGGAGGTGGGGGAGATACTAAATGAGTATTTTGCATCAATGTTTACTGTGGAGAAGATTATGGAAGATAGAGAACATGGGGAAATAAATAGCGACATCTTAAAAAATGTCCATATTACAGAGGAGGCAGTGCTGGGCATCTTAAAACACATAAAGGTGGGTTAATCCTCAGGACCTGATCAAGTGTACCTTAGCAGTGGACGTGATCTATATGGACTTCAGTAAGGCATTTGACAAGGTTCCTCATGGTAGACTGGTTAGCAAGGTTAGATCACATGGAATACATGCAGAACTAGAACTGTGGACACAGAACTGGCTTGACGGTAAAAGACAGAGGGTTGTGGTGGAGAGTTGCTTTTCAAACTGGAGCCCTATGACCAGCGGTGTACCACAAGGATCGGTGCTAGGTCCACTGCTTTTAATCATTTATATAAATGAATTGGATGTGAACATAGGAGGTATGGTTAGTAAGTTTGTAGATGGCACAAAAATTGGAGGTGTAGTGGACAACAGGATCTTGATCAGATGGGCTAATGGGCCGAGGAGTGGCAAATGGAGTTTAATTTAGGTAAATGTGAGGTGCTGCATTTTGGGAAGGCAAATCTGGGCAGGATTTGTACGCTTAGTGGTAAGGTCCTAGGTGGTGTTGCTGAACAAAAAGACTGTGGAGTGCAGGTTCATAGTTCCTTGAAAGTGGAGTTGCAGGTAGACAGGACAGTAAAGAAGGTGTTTGGTATGCTTGCCTTTATTGGTCAGTGTGTTGAGTATAGGAGTTGGAAGGTCATGTTGCAGCTGTACAGGACATTGGTTAGGGCACAGTTGGAATACTGCATGCAATTCTGGTCTGCCTGCTATAAGAACGGTATTGTGAAACTTGACAGGGTTCAGAAAAGATTTACAGGGATTTTGCCAGGGTTGGAGGGTTTGAGATATAAGGAGAGGCTGAATAGATGGAGGTTACTTTCCCTGGAACGTCAGAGGCTGGAGGGTGACCTTATAGAGGTTTATAAAAACATGAGGGGCATGGATAGGGTACATAGGCAAGGTCTTTTCTCTGGGGTGGGTGAGTCTAAAACTAAAGGGCGTAGGTTTAAGATGAGAGGGGAAAAATTTAAAAGGGACCGAAGGGACAACTTTTTCACGCAGAGGGCGGTGTGTGTATGGAATGAGCTGCCAGAAGTGGCAGAGGCTGGTACAATTACAACATTTAATAGACATCTGGATGGGTATGTGAATAGGAAGGATTTAGAGGGATATGGGCCAAATGCTGGCAAATGGGACTAGATTTATTTGGGATATCTGTTTGGCATGGACAAGTTGGACCAAAATGTCTGTTCTATGCTGTATATCTCTATGACTCTATGACATGAACTATGAATTAGATGAACAGACTAAATAGTAAATGGTAGCAGATTATCTGATTGCAGTTTGGCACTCTAGCAGAGTCCGACCCATTACTTTGAACAAAAAAACTGAATAAGTGGAGGAAAAATAAGAAAAGCATGACATGCTGACAAAAAAAATCTACATAATATTTTTAAGCATCTGATGTCAGATTAATACTTTGGTAAATTTAGTAAACGTTATGTCAAGTGTTCTATTTTTCAGCAAAGAAAAATAAAAGCAATACAAGACTGCAGTATGACTTTATTATTGCAGATTCAGTTTGTTCCTTGGGTTCCATACCATACTTCAGTCCGAATGTATAAAATTTCTATTTATATTTTTTTTTGTTATTCAGTTGTGGGCAATGTCACTTGTGTTAATCATCCTTATTTGCCTTAAAAATAGTAATGGTTTGATGATATTCTCAATAAATGACTATTTTTGTAAAAGAGTGGATGACTAGGCCACTTCAGAGGTATTATTCATCAATCTTTTGCCTGGGAGCTGACTTGTTGGTCTCACCTGATGAATACGAGAGGTTTCCTTTCTTGAACATTGTTGCTCTCTTATGACTTAGCATACACTATTGATACGTATAATACACCAAGATAGAGTATTAAATGATCAATGCTGGATTTCCACTTGTCTATTTTGCCTTTAAAATGTGATGGGTTAAGGAATTCATTAGATCTTGGAAAATTATTTATTAGAAATTAAAGGACTATTGAACACCAGTGGTTACACACTATGGATTTACAATAGTTACAGGCTTAACTATTCCTTGCCAAAGATTAAAAAATAACTTATATTTGTTATGGTGAACTGCAATGTGAAATATTTGAGCTGAACATGTCTCTGCTGGCAGCCTCAATACTCCCACTGGCTTGCCTCCTGTTGGCCTCAAATGAACTGCATAATTTAAAACAAGGCAGACTGAAAAATACATTTCAGAAATCAACTGGGAAAAATGGAAGTCAAATGTATACATCACAAATGGAACAAAAGCTACCAGTCAAACATTTTTACAGATAAAACATGTGAAAGAGAGTACATGTTTATATAGTGCCTTTTATTGCTTTCCGGCTATTCCAAGGCACATGACAGATACAAGAAAACTTCTGAAGTGTGGACATTTTTATTATGTAGGAAAATAAAACATTTAATTTGCACATAGCAAGATACTGCAAACAGTAATAAACACATGATAACTTGACCTGTTGAAAAGTGACGGTAGTCTCAGGATTATGTGTTAATG